TTCATGTAGGATAAGGTTATACCAGTAACAGCTAAGATCTTAACTTCTTAATTTCCAAGCATAATAAAATCATATTTTGAACTCTTCCAAAGAAACCTTCAAGATTTGAATCAAGTAGCATTTTAACAGCCTAATGAAAATCAATTTTATGAGTAAATTGATTTCCTTAAAAGCTTGTTGTATAGTATCGCATTCTGTGCTTCAGATTTGTAAGTTTACACCGTGAATAACTTGCAAGCTTACTTGTGTTTGAAAGTTTAATCAACAAGGTCCCTAAAAGTGCATCGATCTCGCTCACCTTCGTTCATGGTTTTGGCTGTGAAACTGCGGAGTGTCTTCAATTGGTATTTCTGCACTAGCTTGTCCACAAGACGGCCCATGGATGAAGTAAAATAACAATAAACAACAGATGATTAACCCCAGTTCGGAAGGCTTCATATTCTTGCAGAAACAATTAGAAAGCAACTGCGTGCGCGTCCAGGATAAACGGCGAAATTCCGTCAACTTTGTGTCAATAATCGAGGCATCCCAACATTAGCTTCTGAAACCATTTGTATAATTGGAAATTGTCTACGTGGATGACACCAAACAAAAGGTAAACAGTTGCCTGGAGCAATCAAATAGCCCTGAAGTATTCACTTTCATACGGCCCGTTCACAGCCAATCGGTTTGCAGGGAGATCGCGAAGCCAGGTGAATTCTTCCCGACTCCTTCCCCCTTCAAAACTCGTCCAACTCAACAATATTCAGGAAAAAAATGACAAAATTACGGCAACTCTGGAGGGTTTGAGCAGCTTAGGTATCGGAACAAGTTGCTCTCGAGATCGCAACTGGAAAGGAAAGATAACGGACAAGAAAAAGCTCGAAAAAGTTCCCGAGAGGGGAGGACATGGGCATTGCTTATTACGGGCGAAACGTTGCGTGACGAATTTGCGTGACGACCGCGCAGGTGGATGAGGCTGGTTGGGTGTTGGTGGTGCCAGGAGGCGGGAAGTGGGGAGTGGGGGGAGCGGGAGGGGAGGTATTTACTATCTTTAAACTGTGTATAAATCCGAGACTTACCTGTTGTCGCGAGAGCCTCATATCCCTGAACTGGCTTGAACTGTCATCAAGCAGACCCTAAATAATGTATTAAGCCACATTTTAAGAGGTATAGATTTACAAAAGAGATTCTCCTCAAATTAAAACGCTGACTTATGCTTTACTCTCCCTTCCTTCACCTCCCAAGTGCAGCTCTTCGGAAAAGGAGGTTTCCTTACCTTACGTTTGCCCCATTTTAAAATGCAGCCTTGGCTGTAGCCTTTATTTTTCCGGGAAAAACAGGCTAGA